CATTACTTAAACCCCAAGGCAGCAGCTAGCCCTGTCCCCAGGCTGTGAGTCATGAAAGGAAAGCTGAAGACAGGAATAAAAGATGCAGACCATCTAACAGTGCAAAAAATATGGGCAGAGAAACGTTCACCAGTCATGTGATCTGGACTGCCATTAGCCCCAATCTCTTACAATGGGTCGTGCTGGGCAGCATGGATGAGAGGCCAAAATGTCTAGGTCAGTGGTTCCCAACCTCGGGTCCCCAGATGTTCTTGGAGTAAAACTCCTAGAAGCCTTTGGATTTCTGGAATCTGTAGTCCAGGAACATCTGGGGGCCCAAGGTTTGGAACCGTTGATCTAGAGGGCCAAGTGCTTCCCATTCTTGGCTTCACAGATCCTGGAACGATCAAGTCAGCAAACCTGCCTTTTTCAGCAGCCTGCTTCCTAGACCCACTGAGATTCCCTTGATTATACCCTGATTTTTTGCACCGCCTTCTTCTGAACTGACGGGTCCACGTGGTGGCCAGCGCTGATTCAGGTGGAGCCAATTTAATGCAAGGAGGAGAAGGGGGAAAAAATCAGAGCAAAATACACAGTGCTTGTGTGTGCCGTATGTTGGCCTTTTGTTGCATGCATTGCAACAGACGGCAGGTGCACTCACTTGCTGCTGCTGGAGCTGGAGGGGAATACAAGCGCCTGTCCCAACACCAGAGTAGCTGAAAGGAGAAGCCGCCTAGAGTGGACGAGTTGCCCAGATAGGCGGGGTATACTTAAATAAATAAATAAATAAATAAATAAATAAATAAATAAATAAATAAAAAGTGTATAAAATAATTACACTGCACTTCCTTCCATCCAGTCTGCATGTCTTGCCAAACAGTGTCATTGAATGACACCAAGTTCTAATATTACGACAAAGTGAGAAAAGCCTCTTTTCTTCTTCCTTAGGAGGTCCAGAATGAAGAAAAAAGGGGGAAAAAAGCAAGACTGTTGCTTCTCATCTAGGATTTTGTATACCAGACGGAACACTATCATCCACATTTCTGTGTTTCTCAAGGTACAAGGAAAATCCAAAATAAAGCCATGCAGACTAGAAGACTGGAATATAAAGCAAAAAATAGTCTGTCTCCAGGGATGTCCCAAATTTAACAGCAATACTTTGCTTGCCGAGATTGCCTTCAAAATGGGCTACATTCATCATCCCAATATTCCAAACACCTTGCTGCCCTCCAGATGTTTTTAATGCTAAAATTCACCCATGCTGACCATAAAAGCCAAGACAGATGCAGGACTAGCGCTGCCAGTGCTATCTGTCACACCCAGGAGCTGATTTTTTTTTAAATTTACTAGTTTCACTAGTGATTCTGTTCTTCCAAGGCCTGTCCTCTGACTTTCTGGCACAGTTAAAATGGAACAACCTCCCCGGGGCCCAAATTTGGGTTTTCAGTTAACAGGAGTAGATAAAACATACAGAAGTAGAAGGAAAGGAGCTTGCAGAGCTAAAGATTTATTGAACTAAGGGTGGGAAAAAAGACAAGGGCCATCCCTATGGATCGAGGGTAGAGTCCAGCATATATGGAGGGCAACTCGTTGCAAAGCGCTTGTCTTAAATAACCATTTAAAGTCAGAACAGACTCTTTCACCCCCAACACTTGGGACCTGTACAGAAGTGGAGAAACGACAAGCGCATTACTTAAACCCCAAGGCAGCAGCTAGCAACATTCAGCCTCTTTTCTTCTTCCTTTAGGAGGTCCAGAATGAAGAAGAAGAAAAAAGCAAGACTGTTGCTTCTCATCTGTTGAACACCTAAGAAGTTGCATGTTGCACATAAAAGACTGTCAGGATTTAAAAAATTCCCAAGGTAGCTTTTATTGTACCACACAGTGCAATAATACTTCTCAAGAGCCATTAATAGAGATGAACACAAAGCCTGGTGAACCACTTCATACCAAGCACCAGGCACAGCTGCACAGGTACTGCCTAGATCCACCTCCCACCCTCCTGGACCGGCTAAGGTCACTTACCTTGTCTTGTGTCTCACCTGGATCCTCCTTTTCCAGTGGCGCTCCAATCCAGCAGGAGCTCGGCCAGCCGCCTGTCTCCCCTTCCCCTGGCAGCCAACCACTCCTTGACTGCGTGGGGAGAATCCCTGTCCTGCCTCCTCGTCTGAGGGGTTGGCTGCCCGTGGAGGTGGGGAGGGGCCAGCCGAGCTCCTGTCTGGATCGGAGCACTGCCAGAGAAGAAGGACCCCCATCAGTGCACGATACAAAGTAAGGGGCTCAAGCCAGTCTGCGAGGTGGGAGACGGTCCTGGGAAGGGCGCTTCATACGAAGTGCTTTGTGCCCATCTCTAGCCATTAAAGCATAATTCACATTTAATAAGAATCAGCAGTAACACAAATGCAAAAATGTCTAGCCTGTTGAAAAACTAAAATCCTATAAATGCTGGAGCTTAAAGAAAACACACACTACACTTCTCCCTTGAATTGCATGGACCTGAGTAGCATGATTTGGGTTATGTAGGGTTTTTTTTAAAAAAAGACAAACAAATAAATATTTCAATAAACAATTATTCAATAATGGTGTGCTAATATGGTCTCCAGAAAATGCCCCGAGAAAGGTAGATCTTAGGCTTTCCTGGGGTCCTGTGGTGGTGGCCCCTGGTCCGAGGGTGGCGACCCAGCTGGCTTCCCTCTCCTGGCAGCCACTCCAAAGGACAGCTGGAGAAGGTACTGGGGCACGCCCAGAAGGGTGCCTGGAATGCATGGGAGCTGGCGTCCAACCATATCTAGAGCTCCTGCTCTCAACCTTGTGTCACCCAGCTCTGTTCTAGGACTGCAACTCCCAGAAGTCTTCAGCCCTAGCTATGCTGGCCGGGGTTTCTTGCAGTTGCAGTCCTGGGTTACTGAATACCTGGGTGACTCAAGGTTGAGAATGGCTTATCTAGAAGGCTGTAGGTTCCTCCACCTTAATCTACATGACTAATAAGGCAAAGTTTCAGATAAGAATTCTCCCAGCCCTTCTTGGAGATACACAGGATGTTTTTTTTAAAAAGCAGATATTCTACCACTGAGCTACATACCTTCTCTTAGCTTGTATCTGTGATCCAGTTTCCCATTAAAAAGGTGTCACTACAACCCAAAACCCGTACAATATTTTTTTACACATGTCTAGGGTTAAAACCTGGCCATCCAAGTTATTGTTTTGTCCACTGACCAGGAAGATTATTTTCTTTAGACCACAGTTCCAAGCGTGCACCAGACAGGCCATGGTCCACAACAGTACCTCTTCCGAATTCTGCTTTGGCCCACAGCATTTTCCCCCTATAAAAGCATACTGTTTCACCTGCGAAGTTTCCTTCCTTTACTGTTACAAAATTAAAACCATTACACAGGGTATGGAGACTTAAAACTGCCTAAAAGTAAACTTACAACATGAACGCATAGTTGATGACAACTGGCACAAGCAAAATCATTGAAAGGCAGCCTGTTTTGGCAATCTCCTCTTCTATTTTGCTTTCCAATCCACACACAATGAAAACAGTTAATACTAACTACAGTGGAACCTCTACTTAAGAACTTAATCCGTTTTGGAATGGTGTTCTTAAGTTGAAAGGTTCTTAAGTTGAAGCAAAATTTCCCGTAGGAATGGACTGAAAACCAATTAATCCATTCTGGCTGTTTTTTTGTTATGTAGAGGTGCGTTCGTACATTGAAGCATTAGTTCCCATAGGAACTAATGCAAAGCTGGTTAATACGTACTCTATCACTAGGGGGAGAACTTTTTTTAAACCTAAGATGACCTAAGGTTAAAAAAAGAGCAGGAAAGTTTTTTTTTTTCCTGTTCTTATCTGGATTTTTGTTCTCAAGTAGAAGCAAAATTTAGCAAATGGAGCTGTTCTTAAGTTGGATTGTTCTTAAGTAGAGGCGTTCTTAAGTAGAGACCCCACTGTAATGGATAACTCATCATTAATGGTGTAATGATGAGGAACCTAGAAAACTTTTGTCAGCTACAAACAAAGTACAGTATAGGCTTTTATCCTGTAAGTCTGCTTTTAAATTGGCTTGTCAGGGAGACCACAGAGAGCACCTCTAAAGTCTGACATACAGACATGGCACTCCACCTAGCAGGTAGACAACAGCTGATGCGAAGAGAAAATAAATTGCCCAAGGGCTCTCTGGCTGTTGCACCAGTCAGGTCAAGTGGGGTGAGACATGGTTAAGCCTAGCTCATCTGGTTCACAACCCATCCTCCTCCTCATCCCAACCCACCCTCCCTTAGCCTGTCTTCATGGTACTCACTGTGGCTTCATTGCAGACACTACATTTCACCACATGCTGATGCATCTTGCCCTCCACGTTGATGGGGCTCTGGCACACCCGGCAAGTGATCATGGGAGCGCTGCCGCTTTCAGGAGAGGCCATAGGTGAGTACGGTGGGGGATCCTCTCCAGGCAGCACAGCCGCCTGGCCCCCATCATTGACTCCGCCAAAGGAAGGAAAGCCTTGGGAGAGATTTTAAAAGATAAGCAGTCAACTGCAATAGAACATTCCAACCTCTTCCACTTCAACCCACCTTGTGCCGCCTCTGTGGTCATTCTTTCCAACACTACACTTTATCATGAACGAGTTCTTTCACAATTCCTCCCTCCCTCCCTGTTGTACTATCTGATCTAATCTGTTCTCTCCCACTGGGCCTCCTTTTCCTTTCAATTTATTTCTCTGTCAAAAAAAATAAATCTCAAGTTAAAAATCTGGATGTATATGTTCACATGACTGATAGAACAGGGTATGTTTAGCATTGAAAAAGAAGACTGAGTGGAGATCTGACAGAACTTTGACATACTTGAAAGGTGCTCATTCAGAGGAGGGGCAGGATCCGTTCTTGAGCATCCCAGAGTGCAGGACGCATAATAATGGTCCCAAGCTACAGAAAGCCGGATTTAGGCTGAATGTCAAGAAAAACCTAACTGTTGGAGCAGTACGACAATGGAACCGATCACTCCAGGAATTGGCGAGTGCTCTAACGCTCGAAAAATTCAAGAGAAAAAAATGGACCACCGCCTGTCAGATCTGCTTTTTGACTGGGATTCCTGTCTTGAGCAGGGGGTTCGACTCAATGGCCTTGCAGGCCCCTCCTGACCGCATTATTCTGTGCTTTTGTGGTATTTTGTTAGCCCCCTTCGCAAAGAAGGATCAGCGAACAATGGTTTACCTTTTGCATATGCTCAGATTTTGGCGAGCCCCCCCATATTTTGGCCTGGATTATTCCTTCAACCTACTGCATCTTCTAATCTCACCAGTAGACCACCCACCCACCCAAAGCCCCCCCATAGTAGCTTCTCCCAGGCAAGAGGCCACGCCCATTCTGCATAAGCCCCTCCCACTCTGCCTTAACCCAGGGTTTTTA